CTTAAAGACAAATTCCGTAATGTGGATGGTGGCGCTCAATTACAAATTTAAGTGGTTAAATGTCTTCCATGGAAAAAAAAATTCATGGATGCCGGAAGTATGAACCTGGCTGCGTCTCTGGACGAGTTCTCCGGACACTTTTTATCCCGCCAAAGGGGTATCTTGCCGCTCCTGTCTCACTGATCGTTTCTCCCGTCGTTTAATGCTAATACCATCTAACAGAGAAAGGAACTCATGACAGAAAACAGGCGCTGAATTTGGTGGGCGGGACAACTAGAGAAACGTCAAAACTGCCACTCATGAGGACCGCAGTGTTTTCGTTACTTACCCTGAAGTCGCGAAAGCGGGATAATCTCGAGGAAGAAGGCCAGACTACCAACAAGAAAGGACGCCTACTATTTGCTCGAGCGCGAGGGGCTGTCTTTAACAATGAAAAAGGTTCGTGGTGCTCTTCGAAATTAACAACTCAGTTGCAGAACATTAATGACTGGCCCATGTGTAAAGGGCTGCTAGTTGGTCAACATAGGCTTTAACTGCTTATGGGTGACTTAACAGGTCCAGATATTACCTGTATCGAGATTTGTGGTAAATTTGGCGCTGTTGTGATCTTAGCTACCCGGCTAGAACACTCACACATATAAGGCAGTGGTACTTTACACGTAAAATTTTGCCTCTGTTCCTTTACCCACTTGGGACCTAGTTAGATAGAAAACCAGAGCCATGGCTCATGTTCTTCGTTAAAATCCTTGCATTAAAAAAAGAGCTGCATTTGAAGGCAAACGAATGAGGGAAATCGAGTGGGTTTTTGCATCAAGCAGGTAATTAAGTGTATGTAAATCTGTGTTGATTAGCTCATTAATCACAGTATGTCCGGTTGTGATGGGCCATTTCGACGGGACCATAATGTATGGAATCGAAGCACGGTAATTAGCCGACACACACATGCCATACACGATCGTTTGTCAAAACGACACGCGTCTCCGAGAGAACGCAAGAAGCGAGGGAATTATTCTTGAAGAAAGGTGAGTAGAGGGAAGGAAGAAGGCTAGAAGAAGTTGAGGGGTGTAGAGAGGATAAGGTGCCACAGAGGACTATTAAATGGGGTTCACTTAAAATAGGAGACAAAAACAAGTAAATCCTGAAAAAGTCAAGAATATTGCCACTTTGACTGCATCAGAATATTTCTAAGGCACCTTCGAAGGCAGGATCGTCGGCGCAGTTCGACGACGGGAGGGGGGGAGGGGGGGGCATTTTGCACTTCGCTGCTTCACAAATTCCGATTTACGTTAAGTCTCACTCTGATGAAATCTTCTAAAGCTGGATCAAGCCCGTCGACACACCTTGGTTAAACCTGTCAACTCTTGTAAGCTCACGAAATGGCTCACTAGGGGGGTCGAGACGTGATGGGTAATAGCCATAGTGCAAAATGCCCTCCCCCGTCGTCGAACTGCCCCGGATCATCCTTCGCCAACCAGCGGAGAAGAAGGGGTCGCATTTTAATTTCCTTGGGGCCGGGTGGGGGGGGGGGTAGTTACGGGGTGTTCAGATAAAAGAGGGGACTCGGCTTGGCATCTTTCC